AAAACTACAATTCCAAGAGTAAAATTTTAAAAGACCATTTATATATATTTAGGAATATTATTTTGTAGTTACAAGTCAATAAATGGAGTTACATTTAAGTTTATAGTTGTATAGTACGCATATATCTCAATATGTTTATACATCTTTAGATTTTACATCAGTTATAATAACTGCTTTGTAAATATAAATCTTGATGCAATAGCGATTAAAAAATGCGCTATGGCTCAGGTTACATCCTGAAGTAGTGTAAGAACAGCATTCAAATATTAATACCACCAAGTGAAGTGCAAGAAACCAGATTGTTGATTGCAATGTCCGACAGTGATAACATTAATAAATACACATGGAAACACAAGTTTTACACTCTGATGTTTATTGATAGCTTTATATACCAAAAGAAATTAGTTCAAACATTTTACAATCACCATTATTTCTCTACATTTTAGCTTCTGAGGTGACTTTCTGCTTATAGGTGAGATAATCAAACTGAAGCGTGTGAGCGTGAGAAATGATGCTGAGGCGTGTGTCACACGCTTAATGTGTGAGACTTGGAATCTATGCATTACAAAGCCCCCAGAAGCATGTCAGTGGGGCAACAGTAATGAGCAGACTGCCATTGAAAAATATTTGGAGCAAAAGAATTTTGATGAACTCGTAATGACTGCATGTGTTCAGTGTGGGTTAATTGTTAACACAGAAGCTCCATGGCTTGGTGCAAGTCCAGACTGCTTGTTATCTGATTATGCAGAGCCAACATCATTTGGGATAGGTGAGGTGAAGTGCCCATTTTCAAAAAAAGAAATGACAATTAAAGAAGCCTGCGAGGTTGACCCATCATTCTATTTACATGAACTAAATGGAAAACCACAACTTAAGCGAATGCAAGGTGTTATGTCTGCATGCAGAGTTAATTGGGGAGACTTTATTGTTTATACAAACAAAGAAGTATTTAGTGAAAGAATTTACTTTGACCATGAATTATGGTATAAAACAATGTTACCAAAACTTACTTCATTTTATTTCACATACATTTATCTTAAACTAGCTACTTAAGAAAATATTTAAAAACAACACTGTTTGATATTTCATTCAGATTCACACTTATCGTTTATTAAAGGTGGGTAAAATAGAGTGAGGTAAGAACAAATTACCCATATTTTGTTCAAGTCTGATGACATCTTCAGTGGAAAGACATTTTTTATAATTCTAAAACTCTTTATGCGTTGTATTGCTCTTTCCACATGCACTCTCAGTGCCGCAATCTTTCGTGTATCGTTTTCGGCAGTGAGTGAAAGTTGACTTGCACCATTCAGAAAAGGTGGTATGCTGAAACCAACACCAGCAGGCATATCATCTGCTATATCAAAACCCCTGTCTGCCATAATGTCATCTCCCAACTCAAGCAAAGTGAGAATGCCACAATCTTTGGTAACTTGTTTATCAGAAGCCCTTCCAGCATACAATTCTGATACAAACGTTGGGTACCCGGCAGGAGAAATTCCTAGCAAACCCTTAGCAGTATTGTGATTTTTATATGATGAAAATGTTGCAGACTGACTTCTAAATGATGTTGGCATTTCAATAAGTAGTTCTGTACAATCAATAATTACACAGGTATTTGGGTAGGTTTCTTTGAAAGGATGTGGCATAGTTTCTTGTATATAATCACGTGATGCCCAGATGGGTAGGGCTCTTAACTGGTGATAGAGAAGGAAGGATAATTCCGGATTTTTAACACTGTTGCTTCGACAAAGTGGCACACAACAGGTCGTTCCCCCATACTTTTTACCTTTAGGCACTTTTTCCGTGTCACTTGCCATATTCATCCAAACAAACGGCAAACCAAACGGCTCAAAACTTGCCAAAATATACTCAAAACAAGCGAGTTTGCTTCAAATTTGACTCGCGTAAATATGTTGTAGTTAAAAAACTCCAATAAGACACTTGAACAGCAGTGAATAGTACTTAAAAGTACTTTTTAAATATTTGACAACCTTTGAAATGTGAAAGCTCTGTATTTCAAACAGTAACTGTTTTTATTTTTCACGCCAAACAACCTAATGTTTTGCTTTGTGAGAAGAACATTTGATCAAACATGTGTTGTTTTGAGGCGGTCAAGTGTGCAAACATTTTTGTCTCTCGAGTCGCTAGAATTAAACCGATCGTTGAAATTTTTAGGGAAACAATAAGTCACAACGTGTTGCTTACCTAGAAAATAATTTAATGCAGTACTCACCTTTATATTGTGAAATATTCAAAAATTTGTTCCTGACTCCTACGAATCGAACTCCTTCCCCACTTTAGTGCCTCTGTACGCCATGTTAAATATTTTAACCACACTCACTCGTAGAAGCCCAAGACGCAGTAGAAATATGAAACAAGTCGTACAGATTTCGTCAAAACTTTAATCAAAGCGAAAATGATGAAAGTTTTCTTGCAATTCTCATGTGTTTAGCACCTTCCCTCATTCGAAAAGTGTAAGCGCCATGTTGAAAAATTCTGCTGTGTAACTAAACTACCATGATGCTTAGCAATTCCGCAATTGGCCCATTGTTTTGAATGAAGTGAAAGGTCAAAGAACAAATATTCCGACAGTATATAAAATAAAACTGAATCAACATACTGAAACAAGAAACCAAAACTCACAGTCTTTGCTATTGCCTTCGCATAAAGAAGCCAAACATCTTTTAAACAAATATCGATAAGTAGATAGCAAGTTCTTCACTGTGGGAAAACGAAGTATTGAAACGATTTGACGAGAAAAAATCCAAAATATGAACATGAACAAAAAACCTTTTATTGCAAGTTGATAGTTCAAAGGTTAGTGGAATTCACAAGTTGTATAACTTGTATGAAGACAACAAAAGTTTACAAATACCTAGCAACAGCTGACGTAAAGATAACAAATTTCAGGAAAATCTTTTTTTCCGGTTAAAATTATGGTTATCCGACGGATAGTTATCCACCCTGCTATCTGTGCTTCGTACAATGCATTTTTTTATTTGGCAGATAGCTATCCATTGGATAGAAGATTTATCCATTGAATAGGACTTATCCACTGGATAACTTATCCACCTTTCGTACAACCGGCCCCTGATGTGTTATTCTGCTTGAGTAAATAGTAGACACTGTCAAAAGGCTGAATAGTTGCAAAAAATCCACGGCCAAAATGAAAATCCAAAAGTTGTTGTTTGAGATTGAATTTGATGAATTTTAAATCCATTCTACATCACATGTTAATTCTCTATGTTGACAAATGTTTTTTTTTTAATTCAGATGACCAAAATTCTATTTATTTGCAAATGAAATATGCTGTGTATACAAATATACTGTTACAGTACATTATCTTGACATTTTAATTTAATTGTATTTTTTATTGCATTAAATTAAATTACATGAAACCCTGTTAATATTTTAATAATTTGGTAACAGCATATGTTAATGATAAGTCAGGGGGCTTACCCATGGCTGCATGTTGTCATTTTAGGATGGTTAAAAGGCATAACATCAATGTTTATTCAACTACATTAATTATCTGTCAAAGTTGTCCAATGTCTTGTTAACTGCATCAAGTAGCCAAGGTACTGCACCTGCAGCCAGGGCTCCCACAATCAAATTTAAGAATTCCTTAGATTTGCCTAAAAAATTCTCAAAATTTCCTCAGATTTCCGTAAAATTCCCTAGACAAACATAACATAGTAACATGAAGTATTTCCTTAACAATACGTAATTCACGTGGAAAATACACTTCA